AGTGGGTGGAGGTAGGGAGTGGCTAGTCTGCACTGTCAAGGGATCCTGGCCAATCCCCAACAAGCAAGGGGCTTGTTGGGGCTCAGTTACCCTTAAGGGTAACTGAGCCTGCTCAATAGCAGGAGAGTTTGGGTGGAAAATGGAGAAGTGAGGCTGGAGAACAGGAGCTTGGGAGGAGGTCCAGATGGGAAGGGGCTCACCTCCAGGCTGATATGTTGGAAAGCAGGAAAACTCAGCACCTCATCTGCCCCCAGAGAGAGGACCACCTGTGTAGCAGGGAAGGAGCTGCCCAGCTAGAAGGCCTGGTACCAGCCACCGACAAATCCGCTTGTAGATGGAGGAGTGAGTAGACCTACACCCCCTGGGCCAGCAAGGGGAAGGAACACTCTGGTGGAGAACTGGATTAGCTGCCTACCCAGGACTGTCTTACACGTAAAGTAAAGTGAAAGGCATTGGATCTCCTGTCCAGGGATTCCTCCAGGCAGCCAGAAAAAGGAAAATCTGGGGTCTGGGGTGGAACACTCTGAGGGAGTATTCCTATCATGTCACACTTCTCTCCCCACCTGCTGACAGCTATAGCCTCAAACACTCCTCTGGGTACTCATGGCAACATCAATATATCCTTTTATTTTTCAGACTTCAGCACTTGTTAACCCTTATTCATTTCCTCTCCTGAATTCTTCTTCATCCACTGTTACAAGCTCTGTTCTTTTATATGCCTTGCATGCACCTCTATCTTTAAAGAACTTCAGACCAGGCACTTTTGGAATTTTTTTCTTGCAGATAATAAATTAATATAATGTCTTTCTCAACTCTCCATACACACTTTTAGTACATCCTAGCTCAGGCTGCCCTGTGCATACATCTTAGATTGAAAAGTCCCTTCAGCAAAGTCCATAAACCATCTCTGGTACCCGGACTGGGTACCCACCAAAGTGTGTGTGTGTGTGTGTGTGGGGGGGGGGGGCAAAGAGTACAGTCCTTTTTGTACTTTCCCATCCAAGACCCATGGACCCAGCTAGGTTTCCTCCCTTTTTATTTATAGCCCACCATGAACATGGCAGCCTTAACCCATTCCTAACTTCCAGGCAGCTTAACACACCAGAACACATACAATATTACATACAATATTAGAAAACTATTATAAAAATGGTGCAAGTTAACAACATGAGGTAGTGTGCACCCCAAAAGTAGGCACCCGCTCGACCGAAGTTGTCTATATCCTACCCCTTCAGGCTGCTATTGTGTACTTTGATCTGATTATCTAGTACAACTCTGCATCTGTGGTTTGGCTCATCCTTACAGTCTGTTAATTTTGGATGCTCATAGTTAGGACTATGACATTTTGACCTTTTTTTGCACAGATGCCTGCCTAGCTACACTGAAAGCTGTAATTGCTATTCTGTTCAGTTGTAATCCTCACATTGGTCCTGCATAATATTTTCAGGGTTTTTTTTAACTGCCATTTCACATAGTTATCCTTTCTGCTACAGTTTCACGTTATTTATGCTCACAGCCGTGATGAAGAAGAGGGAGATCCTTAAAAACGCATTGGCTCTCCATTATCCTTCAAAAACTTTCCATCTTTATAAAGATTGCCGTGGAATAGAGCATTCCTTTGACACAGGCACAGCCCCTCCTTATCAAAAGAGGGGCAACCTTTCTCTGAGGGCACTTGCTTTCAAGATAACTGAGAGGATTTTTCTCACTTTAAGGACATTACCTGCTATTTCTTGTGTCAAAAGGATAAGAAGTGAAGTAAAATATCCCCAACAAAACACATAAGGCAAAAAAACTACAGTGACCAGTTTTAAAGCCCAACTCTGGTATAAAATTATCTTTTTCCCACCCGAGTTGAACGCCATGGAGATATGAAAAAACTTTTAAATGCAGTTGTAAATTCTTTTAAAATAGTTAACATACAATTACATTAGATGCATGCAATTAGAATATGCAACTGCATCTGTCTTTATATCACACTCCTATCATCCCCTGCACAGCAGCACTCAGAATGGGAGAGGGAAGGAGAGCACTAAGAGCCAATCAAGCTCTGCTGCATGTACATGTGCTTACAGGAGGAGAGAGCAGAGTAAAAGAAGTGTGGGATTTATCAGTTTGTTACTGTTCCTTCATTGTCCCATCAGTAGACTTCAGGCATGATGATGACACCACTGTATTCCTTAAGTACAGTATAACAGAAGGAGAGGTGTCTTACTTGTGTCTTACTAGCTGTATTGTCTGGCAGAGGTGTGTGCACTATGAGAGTGTCTAAATAAAACTAAAAATCCTTTGACAGTGAAGACAGTTTTATATGTGAATGTCAACTGTGTACTCAGAAATTAAGCTTTAAGAAAGGTTTTGTTGAACCCTTGGATTAGTATGACTGTGCAGTCAGAATGACCATCAAGAACATTGGTAGACTGTCCGGCACATGTACCGGGGTAAGAAAGGTGCTGCCATTATACTCTACGTATGGCCATATCCTGTTACGAGGTTTGCCTATAAACTAGTCTGCAAGATTAAACTTAACAAGGAACTTCTCTCTCTGCTGTGTACATTTCTTTATAGGTTTATTTTTACCTTTTGTCCTGAATTTACATACTCATCTGCCCAGCAAATCTAGCACTGTACTGCTGTGAGCTTGACTCTCACAAACCTAGGTCCACTGCCTCCATCTTCTTCTCTGATGTCATTGGGAACCAACTGTCTCTTCTGGGTCTAGGTAAACGCTAGGTACACCCTCCTCCAGCTGCAGTGTATGGAAGCTGATGCCTCCTGGGATATGTGACATGCATATCCCAATATCCCAGGAGGCTCCAGGAGCTAGGCACATGACTGGAGGGAGATGGGTAGGCTGGATAGAAAAAATAGATGAATGAACCCCTCCCAAAAAAATGGTCAGCTATTTTACCTTGTGAAGGGGAATTGAATGTAACTCTCTTTTGTTAAGAAAAAAAAGCATTCTCCTCTGGGTGATCTATGTACATTACAGAGATTTTTAACAAACTGATTCGTACCTTTTTTTTTATTCTGAAGAAATAACTGTTTGTCTGTGTCCATGTGCAAGTCCATGTGTGAGTGAATTTGTATGGGAGTGGTTTTATCAATCAGCTACTGCTACTGTATATGCAGGGCTCTAATGAGGAAAGTGGGGTCTGCTTCCCTATAGAGGTGATTTCCCTTTGGGAGTATCTCACCAAAAATGACATTTTCGTTGCAGGGGATTCCAAAAATCTGACTTGTATCTCAGTGGGAAAATCAATGAACAGATCACAGAAGCAGGAAATGACATGTTCATGGGGCGTTCTGTACACACTCTGTACAGAACACCTCCAGGTAGCCATATTACATTGCATTTTCCAGAAAATTACAGGACTGCAGATTGAAAAGGAAAGGTAATTTTTAATAGCGTTCAACTACAATATGACTTGTGTCACAATTGTATACAGTATATTATTATTTTTTTATTTGCTAATTTTTTTCCCACGAAAGTGGAGTTACCCTTTAAGTGAAGGTTGACTTTAACATATGAATGCCTTGCACCTGGACAGACTAAGCAATACATGCTGACTTTTAGCATTTAGTATGATTTTATTCAGTTGTTATTAATGCAGAGGCTAAGGGAAAGGATGATGATGGCAGACTTTTAATCATCTAGTTTCACAGTATTAAATTATCTTTTCACTGCATAAAAAGCACACATTTATGTTGACATTTGTTCAAAAAATTGCAGTGGAATATTTATAACTGGAAGAGGAAAATGACTGCATCTACATTATCAGTGGGTGGTGATGTGTTTAGAGCGGAACTCCGGGCAGATATAAAAAGAAACATTTAATCGAATTAGGTATAATGTAAAGTCTTATTTAAATGCTGTTCAGAGTGCTAGTGGTGCCCACTAATTCATACAAACCAATCAGATTTCAGTTGTTATTAATTACAAAAGTCATATTATAGAAAGGTCATTTTGATTGCAATGTTCTATTTATCTATAAGTGCTAGTAATGCATTAGAGTCTTACATGAGAGCCACAGATCACATAGCATATTTTATGTTTTAGTTAAATCCCTTTGACAATGCAAACATCAATACAAAGTAATTGGATTGGTAAATCAATATTAATAAATAACACAACACAAAATCATTGTTTTCTAATGCAGTATTTCATCCCAGGGACTTAAGCCATTTCTTATGGCTGCCGATCAGAAGTTATTAATGTCTCTGCAGTGGGCTAACATCAAGGTATGTGGGAGTCGCATGTACATGCTAATATGCCAACAGCGTAATACTCCCCATTTTCACTCAGGTGCGTTTAGTTTATTGCCAAGATACATGAAAACATTCCTGCAATGGCTCTAAAAATCAGTTAAAGCGTATGACATTTTTTCCAAATTAATATAACAGTGATTTTTTTTTAACTTATAGTACTTGGAGATAGTGCTGTAAATAAAAAGTACAGCTTGCTTGAACTTTATGAAGCATAGAGAAATTCATATATATTAAACATTACACAATTATAAAAACATATATGTAACTATGCAACATAGGCACTAATATCAATACACTAAGCTACAAAGAATTATTATTTGTCATTATGATCATTATTTTTAGCCATGTGACTGATACTTAACGGTAGTTATTTGTCATAGCTTTGTCGTGTGCCTTTACAAAATATAAAATTCAGCAACATTTTTAGTATGTCTGGTAATATCATTTACAAAATCTTCAATTGATAAACCAGTTTTTGTATTTGAAAGCAAATCACATGCATACATAAATCCACAGTCATCGAAAGTAGAAATTACGATAAACCTGTCCATCCCATGGTTCAACAAGGCACCTTTACAATCTTAGAATTTGGAATATTCTTTTATATATTTAATCTGGAATAATGCACCACTGTGCAGTGATGGGAAACAAACCTGTATGGTAATGTATATGAAATGTATCATATGATTAATAACCAAAATGATCATTAGCACAAGCATACATTTACTTACCCCAGGCTCTTTTCAGGTAGAATAAACTGAAGATCCACCATATAAGGGACTTTCCATACACCATCATCTTCAGACATGAAAAATCTATTTTGTGTAACAGAAGAACAGAAATGATTGTTCAATTCCCCTTCTTAAATGTGCTCAGAGGCTGTTCTTCACCTCTCTATGTATGAAGAAGACCCCTATTTTAACCTGTGCTCAGCGTTGCCAGAAAACACAGGCAGACTGCAAGGATGCTGCAATGGATAACAAGTGTAAAATAATTTTCCCTAGCATATATGAGCTAGTGAAACCAGCTGTGGCTGCCTTCTGCTAAATTCATTATGTGTCAATAAATGCAGAAGGATGAAGGGGGATGGGATCAGATGGTCTCAGCTTGTGCTATGGTAGCTCGGGAGGAACATTTTTTTCAATCCTAAGCTTTAAATCTTGGAGTAGAAAGAATAGCACCATACATTTAACAAGGCTGGCATGCTATAAATTCAAGGCTAGGGGAAGAAGCCAGATTTTACAACCTAGCGCATTAATTCTGCAGGGAAGATGCGCTTGGGTTCACTTTATCTATTACATTCATCTATTATATGTATGTAAACACATTCTAGAAAATAGAAAATAAATTCTACAAAGCACACAACATATTTAAAGTGGACCTTCACCTGAAAATTGAAGTTACCTTCTTTCTCTCCCCCAGCCTTCTAAGGATTGCCTGGGTTTTTTTCAGGGAGCGAGTACCTTTTTTTGGTGGTTCCCACTTTCACTTCTCTGTTCCTCTCCTAGATGAAGAAGACATCACCTCAGCCCAACCACAGCCACTTGAGATAACATTGCAAATTCAAAGAGGGTGCAGGACCAGTCTCATGGCAGGATATGTCTTGTGCATGCGCAGTATGGAGCCCACTGTGAGTCAAGGAAAGGAACCCCAAGATGTACTGGCTGCATGGGAGATAGTTCTGGACTCGTGGGCATTGGCTGTTAAGTATGGGTTTCTTAAAAGACAACAGCTACAATACTTGGAGCTACTGACTGTTAATTTTCCCTAACCTGGGTGAAGTTCTTCTTTAAAACTAGCAAGTTGAATTAATAATGGTATGTAGCCCTTTTTTGGGGGGGGATGGTGGCATGAGAAATGGCCCTCCCCAAACAGGATATTGCATGAAACCTGTAGGCATATAAGAAAACCAAAACCTTTGCTAAATGGAAGAATTGATAATAAATAATAACATCACATACATCCAATGTACAAACGGGTGTTATCAGCATAGGGTCTGATAGGATGTTGGTGGAACTGTGCACATGTAACCGGGTATATATAGTTATTAACAAAGATACATCCAGATTAATGTTGTAGTTAAGTCCAGATGCAGGGTCCTCTAAGAATGGTGCAGCCTCCGTTTTTGTGTTGGAGACCTGAAGAAAAGATCAGTGGTCATAGGGGTATCCTCCAAATGTTGTCCAACAAGCCTGGAATGGGACCTCTCACTAGCAGGAACTGTGGTGTGGCATTGGAACTCAAACTAAGTCTATAATTTATTAATATACAGCAGGATGGCCGCTACATACATACAGTAGCACAGACCTAGCTATCTGGCACTGTACATGTGAAATAATAACAAAGACAGGGCAGGGATACTTTGTCTGTTACAATGATTTAGATACCCTATGCACTCTGCAGTTGCAGTTAAACTAAATTAGATCATAGATCATAGGGATACAATTATAATAGTCTCATCTGGTCTAGGATTTATCTGTATGGACAGAACATGTGGCTGAGACTTTCTCGATCTCTCTCCACTTCTTCCTTCTGGGGTTTCAAAGCCAACAACCAGGGACAGGAAGTGCATACTTAATATATTTACAGGCATTTAAAAATTCAGACAGTAAAGGGCAACATATCCCTAGAGGTACATAAAGGCCTTTAAATGAAAAGTGATAGCTGATTGTAATCTCAATGCACCTTGATGTGATTAAATGGGGAGGGGGGCTGGGGCACCAATTTTATAGTTTTTCCTGGGCGCAAAATATCCTAGCTACGCCTCTAACAATGGGGAGAGGGTCTTTTCATGTGGTTTGAGGGCAACATTGATATACATAAATTCTTTAAATAACATGCTTGGGGGATTCTTTAAAGCTGTACGTAGTGTTACAGAACAATACGATTTTCACAGACAGTCCCAACAACAGCAATAACTGGTGGCACAAATCTGTCTGAGAATTGATTTTGTCCTATACAATCAGCTTTGCACTTGTTACCAGCAACACATGCTTTTTCATCAAATGGTGATTGGCCCACTTTCCATAGCAGGTTGAAATTTGGCAGTACAGTAATTCACTGAGGCTGTCCTTGTTCTTGCTCATGCAAAACTGTCCTGCTGATTGCCATTAGAAATAACAGACTACAGTATACAATTGGGTAGCAATATAATAAGGGAGAATTCGCTGAAATGTACTAGAGAAAAAAAGAGTACAGGCAAGTGTTTTACTACAAGAATTAAGAGACTCCAGATGAACCAACACTATAATAATGGCCAGCAGCAGGACAACTTTAATTAGCAAGGCTAAGCCCTAATTTACTAAAGACAAAGAGCAGAGGCTGAGGTTTTACAAAAAGATTTAAGATACTGCAGAGGATACAGCAGTTTAAAATTGGCCAGTAGCAGGAGAGTTTTATCTAAGGATAATAGGCCAAAATGTACTACCGATGTACAGTCAGGTGTTTTATTATAGGAATTAACAGACCACGGATGATTCAGTAGTGTAAAATGGGCCAGCAGAAGGACAATTTTAATGAGCAAGGCTAGGCCCAAATTTACTAGGGACAAAGTGAATTGGCTGGGGTTTTACAACAAGTAAAATACTGCAATGTAAAACTGACCAGCAACAGGACAGTTTTAATCAGGAATAATAGGCTTAACTGGTGTATATCTAATCTTTATTTTATCTTTGGGCTTAGGGACCTTCCTGCTGTGTTCTCTGCCTCTGCTGGTCTCCTTGTGCCAGAGCCAAAACAAAAGGCATAGAGCAAATGTCAGTCACAGTGGAGTATGTAGTTGCACAGATTAGGGAGAAGCAATTGGTTGTTTATGTCAGGTAAACCAGCTATTTAGTAGCTAATACGTTAGACAAAAAAATGGTTAAAAATAGAACTTAATGAAAAGCAATGCCCTGTGTTATAAACACAGCAGGCATCATGACTGGGGATGGTCCCTTCAGACTAGTCTGTCGGGTAATAAAGGGGTTAAGTGATGGCAGAGGGACAGGATGGGGAAGGGTTGGATTGTGGTGGCAGATTATTGGTAGGAGGAAGAAAAATGGAGCGGACTCCTGCATCATATTGAGTCCCGTGACATACTGGTCACTCAGTTGGCGCCCTTCCATGAAGAAAAAAGTCCCCACCCTCTCACCCCAAGTTTTTGTTCCTGGGTTTTGTTGTTATGGCTTTACTTATGACTTTTATACCGAAATAAGAAATATTAATATATTAATAAATCATTTTTAAAAAAAAAGACGTGCAGTTTTTTCTTGCAGGGTGATGAATAAATAACTACAAAGTGACTAATTCAGTGACACCTTGTTATTATTGGTTCCAGTCCAGTAAATTTGTTCTCACGTGATATTTTTGTCACAGCTGGTGTTTATACCTTTTGCAGGCTGAGGTAGCAGGTGGCTGGTAGAGGCGGTGGAATTGGTATCAGGAGGCTCAAGTAAGCCCCTGAGCCTAACCTGGATGGCTGGGGGCTGAATTGGCTCCTGCTAAGGAAAAAAAGTGGATACGCCACTCAGCACTGCTAGATATGTTTTATTGGTTGATTGTTCATTATTCATAGATATCAAGCTGTGGCCGATACTTAAATAATAAAGTATCAACATAGTTAAAAGTATCTTTGTTGTCAGTGTGATTATTTTGTTCAAGCTCAGGGAGAAGTGAACAATGTACCAGTCATGCCATTGTGTTGATGGTTATACAGAATCGCTGCACTAGCAGGAAGGAGAAGGGGGAAACAGAGTGGAGCCCACACCTCTTCTTGGTTCTCTTCACCTCTCCTCACCACTCCCAGCCCTGGGCTGACAGGAGTAGTGATGCTGCTGTCAGCCTTGTAACAGAACTCGGCACGGGGATCCCCCATCCCTGCAATAAACTATTGTGTCCAGGGCAGTTGTACCTCCTGCCCACCCCTTGTCCCGGCCGTGAACACAATTTCCTAACTCACACTAATCTCTCCCTATGCGGTTTCCTAGATTTCCCTATAACAGATTCCAGTTCACTGACGCTATGGGGGTTATTTACTAAAAATGGAGCATGCAAAATCTGGTGCAACTCTGAATAGAAACCAATCAGCTTCCAGGTTTTATTTCCAAAGATTAATTGAACAAGCTGAAATTAGAGCTGATTGGCTATCATGCACAGCGGCACCAGATTCTAATGCAAGCCATAGATGGGGAGAAAACCAGCCGTTTTTTAAACAAAAAAATGAAAAATCGGTGGTTCAATAGGCTGATGTTACCATCAACAGTTAAAAAAATCAGTCGATTTTCTTCCCGTCTACGGCTGGCATTTAATTACTTCTGTCCCTGCAGAGAGCCCCGCTATTATATTTGACATTAAAAAGTATTGCGGTTGCAACATTGTATCTATTTGTATCCATTTCGGATACAGATGTTTTTTCCAGATACAAATAGATACATTATTGCAACCGCAATACTTTTTCATGTCACATATAATAGCGGACTGGAATTCTTCTTCTTTCTCTTCTTCTTCTTTCTCTTCTTCTTTCTCTTCTTCTTCATTCTCTTCTTCTTCTTTTTCTTCTTCTTCTTTTCTTCTTCTTCTTTTTATATTTTTTTCTTCTTCTGCTTCTTCTTTTTTCTTGCAGGTCACAGCTCATGCGCAGATTTTTTATCGGTAAAAAGATTGGCCGACTTGCCCATCATTGCCGCGAAAATTGTCTGATCTGCAAAATCGGATGATTTTTTTCCAACTTTACCGATCAAAAAAATCTGGCAAAATCCAGAAAAACGGCCGACCAATTAACCCATTAACGGTGCAAAAATCGGCCGTTTTTTTTTCAG